CTTGAATAGATTATAAAAGATTACATTGGTAAAGGGTTTTAAAAAAGAGACAGCAGTTACTGCCAAAATCTTCCCAAACCCAGTGTCTTAGTCCTTTTGGGCTGTAACAAAAATGCCATAAATGGGATGGCTTATAAAGAACAGAAATTTATTTCTCCCAGTTATGGAGGCAGGGAAGTTCAACGTCAAGGTGCAGGCCCATTCAGTGTCTGGTGAGGAAGTGCTTCCTCATAGATGGTAACTTGTGGCTGCATCCTCACATGGAGCCAAACAAGGTCTCTTGAGTCTCTTTTATGAGGGCATTAATCCCATTCATGAAGGCAGAGCCTCGTGACCCAGTAAATTCCCAAAGGCCCTACCTTATAATATAGTCATCATGGTGATTAGAATTCAACATATGAATTTTCGGAGGACACAAACATTCACATTATGGCATCCAAACACCTCAAAGAGTTATATTTTGTCTCCACAGTTACCTTAGTATTAAATTTTCCTCGCCGGCAAGACAGGAAAAATTAGTTGAGGATAAACTAGAAGTTTTCACCTGATCATATTGATGTGGATCCTTGATAATCTCATGCCTTTATGGGAATTATATGTTCCTCATTAAAAACAAAGAATTCTGGCCTTTGCCAGTGATGGCTTTAAACTAGGACGAGCGTTCTGGGTGTGGCTGTTGTATCTGATCAAAGCTAATGTTTGCTAATTTGCATGTTAAATGCAACAGACATAAAATACTGGATAGTTTCAGGTCTTGTTTATGCACCGCAAAAAAGCAATGATAAAACTCATTCATCTTCACTTTACAGCCATCGTGAAGTGGCTGTTTCCACTAGAAATATATAGGTAGCATGTAAAACAGTTGTCTTTTCTGGCAAAGGAGTTTCTTGTTAAGGCATGACCACAACCAAGTGATTCTTTCTCCTTTGATTAGTATTCACTGTCTCTTCTGAGCTGTCTCCAGTGGATACAGTTTAGAGATTTCACATAAGTACAGAAAGAACTCTCATACTGTAGGATTTGCAGCATGCTCTTTAAGTGCAACTGCTACCACAGTTAAAGGATCATCGGAAACATCAAAGTGAACGGGAAAGTGGAGAGAGTCAAAATGCAAGAAGAGACATTTTATATTATTAAAATAAATTGATTCACAATGTAATTGTAAAAATAGCATGGAGGAAAGTTAAGTTGAAAATATCAACAGTGTGTCAAAAAGGACAATGTAAAATCTACCAGTTGTCAGAATGGCTAGAAAAACATATTCTATTATTCAGCCAAACGTTCTTGCCTTTGCCTCTTCCTATTCTTTACCTGTCAACTCCTAGACAATATCTTTCTAACATCCTTAATTCTCAGGCTCTTGCACATAACTTAGAAAACTGAAGCAACTACCTAGCCCATCTTACCTCACTAGGCCTTCCTTAGAATCTGCCCAGAGTCAAGTTTACAGCCCCTTTGAAAAGTTACAGCTCCTTACCAAAGTCTTTTCAAAGCGAAGCAAAAAAGGAAAAGGGTTGGAGACAACTTTTGCATAAACATTAGCTCGTGTAATCACTACAACGACCCTTTTAAGGTAGACGGTATTAATTTCATTTTCCTGAGGAAACTTACTCTGTTCAGATCCAAAATCTTCTGCAAAGTCCTGCAAGTACCAAAAGAAAAAGCCGGGGTTTTTACCTATGTCTCTATAACTCTGATTTTGTTGCTTTTCTTTTCTCTCATTTTGGTTTTCAACTGTAGAGTAACATAATAACCACCTACTCTCAGGAAAAAAAAAAAAGGTATTAGAATAAAAATTTACAGACCTTGCTTATAAAGATTTAATTACATTTAAAATAAATAGGGAAAATATCTTGAAAGTATGTTTTTAATAATGATGAGTTTCATTTAAATTATATATTCTCTGCACCTATTATTAAATATATTAAGTTGTAGTTATCTGATAAAGGTGAAGGTGGTAGACATTAAGGCTCTTTATAGTTATTCTGCCTCTCTCTCCTTTCTGGTATATGGAATCACTTTCCCACCCACTTGAAGTTGAGTGTGGCTATGTGATGTGCCTGATCAATGAATTGTGAGAAGCGAACTGTGTCACTTTTGGACAGATGTTCTAAGAGCCACTGAATGTTTTACTATGCTCTGTTTTCTCTCAGACCTATCAACCAACAGCGCTCAAAAAGTTGGCTGCTTTATCTTCCTGAGTGACTACACTATGTAGCCATCCCCTCCTTATTGGGATGGGCATAGAGTATCAGCAAGAAATAAGATACTAAGATAATAGAATTTGTTATTACTAAAGATTTGCCTAAAGTTTCTGATACACTCAACATTGATGGTTGTTTTACAGCCACAACAGCAAACATATTTAAGAAATGTGTTTCAGAATCACATATAAGTCTGTGGTTCACATTTGTTGTAATGCTAAAATATTTGTTTAGGTTTTTTTTTCAACTTTTATTTTAAATAACATAAATTATTTGAAATTTTGTTAATGATTCTTGAAATTAAAGATGTCCAGCAATAAGATGGTCTTAATACAAGGAAATTGTTTTTCATCACTGAAGATTAATTAAATTTTCAGTAAGAATTGAGATATATGAGGCTAACACTGGAAATTATCTATGTGTTTTCAGATAAAATGTGATTATTAAAACATAAAGGAACTATTTTCCTGTTCTTTTTTTTATTGCATTTTAGGTTTTGGGGTACATGTGAAGAACATGCAAGATAGTTCATAGGTACACACGTGGCAGTGTAATTTGCTGCCTTCCTCCCCTTCAGCTATATCTGGCATTTCTCCCCATGCTATCTCTCCCCAACTCCTCACTCCCCGCTGTCCCTCCCCTATTCCCCCAACAGACCACAGTGTGTAGTGCTCCCCTCCCTGTGTCCATGTGTTCTCATTGTTCAACACCCGCCTATGAGTAAGAACATGTGGTGTGTCGTTTTCTGTTCTTGTGTCAGTTTGCTGACAATGATGTTCTCCAGGTTCATCTGTGTCCCTACAAAGGACACGAACTCATCATTTTATATGGCTGCATAATATTCCATGGTGTATATATGCCACATTTTCCCTGTCCAGTCTATCATAGATGGGCATTTGGGTGGATTCCAGGTCTTTGCTATTGTAAACAGTGCTGCAATGAACATTCATGTGCATGTGTCTTTATAGTAGAACGATTTATATTCCTTTGGATATATACCCAGTAATGGGATTGCTGGGTCAAATGGAATTTCTATTTCTAAGTCCTTGAGGAATCGCCACACTGTCTTCCACAATAGTTGAACTAATTTACACTCCCACCAATAGTGTAAAAGTGTTCCTATTTCTCCACATCCTCTCCAGCATCTGTCATCTCTGGATTTTTTAATAATTGCCATTCTAATTGGCGTGAGATGGTATATCAATGTAGTTTTGATTTACATTTCTCTAATGACCAGTGATGATGAGCATTTTTTCATATGTTTGTTGGCCTCATGTATGTCTTCTTTTGTAAAGTGTCTGTTCATATCCTTTGCCCACTTTCGAATGGGCTTGTTTGTTCTTTTCTTGTAAATCTGTTTGAGTTCTTTGTAAATTCTGGATATCAGCCCTTTGTCAGATGGGTAAACTGCAAAAATTTTTTTCCTTTCTGTTGGTTGCCAATTCACTCTAGTGACTGTTTCTTTTGCCGTGCAGAAGCTGTGGAGTTTGATTAGGTCCCATTTGTCTATTTTGGCTTCTGTTGCCAATGCTTTTGGTGTTTTGGTAATGAAGTCCTTGCCTACTCCTATGTCCTGAATGGTTTTGCCTAGATTTTCTTCTAGGGTTTTTATGGTGCCAGGTCTTATGTTTAAGTCTTTAATCCATCTGGAGTTAATTTTAGTGTAAGGTGTCAGGAAGGGGTCCAGTTTCTGCTTTCTGCACATGGCTAGCCAGTTTTCCCAACACCATTTATTAAATAGGGAATCCTTTCCCCATTGCTTGTTTTTGTCAGGTTTATCAAAGATCGGATGGTTGTAAATATGTTGTGTTGCCTCCGCTGCCTCTGTTCTGTTCCATTGGTCTATATCTCTGTTTTGGTACCAGTACCATGCTGTTTTGATTACTGTAGCCTTGTAGTATAGCTTGAAGTCCGGTAGTGTGATGCCTCCCGCTGTGTTCTTTTTGCTTAGAATTGAGTTGGCTTCCTAACCATGAATATCGAATGTTTCTCCATCTGTTTGTGTCCTCTCTTATTTCTTTGAGCAGCGGTTTGTAGTTCTCCTTGAAGAGGTCCTTTACATTCCTTGTTAATTGTATTCCTAGGTATTTTATTCTCTTTGCAGCAATTGTGAATGGCAATTCGTTCTTGATTTGGCTCTCTTTAAGTGTGTTATTGGTGTATAGGAATGCTTGTGATTTTCGCACATTCATTTTGTATCCTGAGACTTTGCTGAAGTTGCTTATCAGTTTCAGGAGTTTTTGGGCTGAGACGATGGGGTCTTCCAGATATACTATCATGTCGTCTGCAAATAGAGGCAATTTGGCTTCCTCCTTTCCTATTTGAATACCCTTTATTTCTTTTTCTTGCCTGATTGCTCTGGCTAGAACTTCCAGTACTGTATTGAATACGAGTGATGAGAGAGGGCATCCTTGTCTAGTGCCGGATTTCAAAGGGAATGCTTCCAGTTTTTGCCCATTCAGTATGATATTGGCTGTTGGTTTGTCGTAAATAGCTTTTATTATTTTGAGATATGCTCCATCGATACCGAGTTTATTGAGGGTTTTTAGAATAAAGGACTGTTGAATTTTGTCAAAGGCCTTCTCTGCGTCAATTGAGATAATCATGTGGTTTTTGTTTTTGGTTCTGTTTATGTGGTGAATTACGTTTATAGACTTGCATATGTTTAACCAGCCTTGCATCCCTGGAATGAATCCTACTTGATCATGGTGGATAATCTTTTTAATGTGCTGTTGCAATCGGCTTGCCAGTATTTTATTGAAGAGTTTTGCATCTATATTGATCATGTATATTGGCAAACATATGAAAGTCTACACGAATTTGCGTGTCATCCTTGCACAGGGGCCATGCTAATCTTCTCTGTATCATTCCAATTTTAGTATATGTGCTGCCAAAGCAATAACTATTTTCCTGTTCTGATACTAGTACAGTAACTTAGCAATAGTGAAAATCAGTTGATAATCAGATGCTTGTGGCTGAATGTCAGTTTGTCCTTTTTGTAGCTGCTGTAATGGTATGTTATTGAAATAAGGATTTTTTTTAGTTTTTAATTTTTATTGAGGCATTATTGAAAAATATAAACAATTGTATATATTTAAGACATACAACATGGTATTTTGGTATAATTAACATATCCATCACGTGGCATAGTTATCTCTTTTTTTTATGATGAAAACACTTATGGTCTAATCCTTCAGCAAGTTTCAAGTACAAAAGACATTATTATTAACTACAGTTACCATGCTGTACCTTAGATCTCTAGAAGTTATTTATCTTATAACTGACATGTGAAACTCTCTGACCAACAACTCCCCATTTATACTATTCCTGGCAACCACTATTCTACTCCCTTCTTCTATGAACTCAACATTTTATATTCCACACATAATATCATGAAACATTTGTCTTTCATTTTTTCTGCCTTATTTTACATAGCGTATGTCCTCCAAGTTCACCTTGATGCAATTGCAAGATCTTCTTCTTTTTTTATGGCTGAATAATATTTCATTATATACATACCATAATTTCTTTATTCATCCATCCATGGGCAAACACAGGTTGTTTCCATATCTTGGACATTGTGAATAATACAGCAATAAATGTGATAGTACAGATATATTTTTGAAATACTAATTTCATAAATATTCAACAGTAAAGTTGCTAGATTATATGGTAATTCTATTTTTAATGTTTTGAGAAATCTCCATACTAGTTTTATACTGGCTGTGCCAATTTACATTTCCACAAACAGTGTATAAGTGTTCCTTTTTTTCTAAATCCTCACCAATACTTATTCATTTTTAAAGATACAATGAGACAAACTTTTTATTTAAAATTATAGGACAAGAATGAATACTACCAATTCATCAAAAAGCCTGTCTACTGACAAAGTCTACTTTTTAAACTTAATGTTTTTTGCTTAAATGTTTTTGGGAAAAAGATAATTATGTACACTGATATATGTGTGTACATTTCACAATGAGGTATATTCTGTTAATTTGGTTTAAGCTTAATTTGGACATAATAACAAATTCTTAAAACTTGTCAGACTGCTTATTAAGTAGGTATTAGTGTATCCTACCTCATCTACAGAGATGAAAAACTTCAGCATAAGTTGTCTAAAACAATAAGTGTATTTGAGCTCAAGAAGTATCACTTCAGAGATATTAACAATAACACTATTCAGCCAATACTGCAAGAATAAAATCAAAATTAAAAAAACAAATAAAAATTATTTATTAAAAAATATTTTTTTAAACATCACATAAGCCAAAGCGAATGTAAGCTTATGTAAATAAGTTTTGATTCAGTTACATTTCTCGTGGATCAACTAATTTTTTAAATCAAACATTTCAACTAGGTAGTAACAGTATTTTTGTGTCTTTCTTTGACATATGGTCTATGTATATGTTATGCAAAATGAAATAATGGAATATTTCTTCTTATTATATGTTTGAAACACATTATTGTGTCTAACTTCATAATGTAGCCATCATATTTTGGTAAGTTAAATTGTTTGACAAATGGGTGCTCAACCTGGAAGACTGAAAAAGTAGAGTTTTTATTTTTTCTAAAATTTAGTTATAACTGACAAATAAAATAATGATATCTGGTATCATTATCCTTCATATATTCCATATTCTCCTATCATGATAAAACTGGAATTCATATTTTATTGAAAAGGCTCTTATTTTTTCTTTTGTCTTCTTTAACTACATTCTACAGTGTACCCTGAAAGATATAAATTCAGAAGCGTGGGCCAGGAGCAGTGGCTCATGCCTGTAATCCCAGCACTTTGGGAGGCTGAGGCAGGTGGATCACCTGAGGTTGGGAGTTTGAGACCAGCCTGACTAACATGGAGAAACCCCATCTCTACTAAAAACACAAAATTAGCCAGGCATGATGGCACATGCCTGTAATCCCACCTACTCGGGAGGCTGAGACAATAGAATCACTTGAACCTGGGAGACGGAGGTTGCAGTGTGTCAAGATTGTACCATTGCACTCCAACCTGGGTAATAAGACTGAAACTCCATCTGAAAAAAAAATATGTGAATAGTTCTGAGAGGTTATCTTGGGATTTACCTTTCATAAAACTGCTACAATTTATAGAATCTGTTTGTGCTCTGTCACCAAAATGTAAAAAGCTGCCTTTTATTTTTTTTTAATGTGCTCCATTAGGACAACAATGTTTCAGGTGAAAAACATCACCACAATGAATTACTTTAACTTGGAATAACCTTGCTTTAATAATTACATGGAAACCCTTTCACAAGAGAAAGCATTGCTAGGAGTCAATAGCTGATTGGATATAGAATCTAAATAATGTGATATGATTTAACTTACATGGATCTCATAGGTAAAATGGAAAAATGATAGTTAAATATCAGAATTCATATAGAATATATGTGAGATAGTACAAATATTTTAGTATCGTATTTGTCACATAGCAGATTGTCATCAAATATTAGCTCATCCCCTATGTCTCTTGTTGTATGGTTGATAGAATGCCATGTCCATCTGTGTAAATTGAGCTCCCTAAGGATAGCCACTATTTTTCACTCATCGTTTTATCTAGTACAGAAAGTAATAGGGAGTAGTCAATAGCACAGTAAACGTTTGGCCAATGAATGGCTTTACAACATCTCTGTGGAAATACCATAGATGGTGGGTCTGTTTATTGCACACCACAATTGTCAGTATGTCTATTGCATAACCAATTGTCACTGGTTAGTCTCCGTGTTTATTTCTGAATTTATTTAGAACAAGGCTTTATTTTTAATTTATCATTTTTACTAAAAAATAACTTGGGTTGCTGACAAATTTTCAGTTTTTGCTCATTTACCTTGCTAATATAGGTAGCTGAATTTGCATATGTATATCAATATCTGTATTTATCTTTATCTCCATATGGAGATATATTAGCAAGATATATACTTATGTCTGTATCTCTCTCTATCTGTCTCTTTTGACATGTGTACTATGTAGGTATATTTTAACCACCAGCTCAGTGAGAAAAAGTCAAGCTGTGATTTTTAGTGTTTGCTTATTTCTGTGGTGTAAATACTTCAACCACATCCAATTTCAAGCTATCAACATGATATTGCTGAGTGCGGAGTTGGGATGAGATAAGTAGTGGCAAATTATTATATAGCATTTTCAGCATACAGATGAAAAGATGTGAGTAACCTCCCAAGTATAGATGACAGTGAAATGCAGTAAAAGAATTAAGGGATGAATTTTAAACATTTATTACAGTTGCTTTAATACAATTTATTTAATCATAAGTTTATATAATTGAAACAAGGACTATGTTTAATAGTATGCTCTCAAAATTCCTTAGGATTTAACATTTGGCTTTCACAATTCATAGTAAAGGCCTTAATTTCAAAGTCTCCGTTGCTTTTCATTTTCAAAACTAAAGGTAATAATCCACGCTTTAACTCTTTCTTGTTGTTTTCTTATGTCCTTTAAATCTTCCATGTTTGGTATGTTTCTACAGTGAATATTTATGAGTTGAAACTTCTGAAACAGTTCAAGAATATACTTTTTGTGTGTGCATTTAAAATTGTATATACTGCTTGAATGATTTCTATAATCTATTTCCAAGGATAATAAGAACTAATCTTAAAATCACAAAGGCCCTATATTACTCTTTGACTCCTTTTTCTCTCTTAATGAAGCTGAAATAACTGGGTACCAAAGATGAAATAATGTTAAGTAAAAGACTATTTGCTACAAAATAAAATTTTGACACATTTTGGCAAAATGTTTTTTTATAGTAAGCTTTTTACTATTTAGTATCAAATATATTAAACTAAATAAATGTAGGAAAATAGAGCCTACAAATGCAGAGCATAAATGCCAGTTTTTACCTGCACCTATTACTTATATGACTTCATTTTTCTACGTTAAAATTAAATTAATCTACTCTACCCCCTCTTCATAGCCTCTGCCACTGCAGTCTTGAAGGTTGAGGTGAAGATACTCACATTTTACAAGCATGTGAAATATTAACTATGGCAAAATATAAACATGAACGTGTTGAATAGGAACACGTCTGGAATGACAGTATGGAGTGTGAGGGGCTCCAAGGATACTATGGAGTAAAACAACTATCACTGGTGAAAAATGTAACAAAAGAACCACTGAAAGTCTCTGTAAATTGTCTTAAGAGCATATAGAAAATGGAGAAATATTTATCCCAAAAAAAGAAAACCTGCTAAAGTGAAAGTCTATGACATTTGAGCAACAACTCCCACCCTGACTCCGCTCTCTCTAGCTCTGTGTGACAGAAACATTACTCTGGATAGACATGGCCAAAACCAGGGTGCTTCTTCTATGTGATTCTCTTCTTTTTACTCATCAGCAGAAGCTACTGTGGCATATCATCACATCTGGTCATAGCTGAAGAAATATGGCTGCTTCTGTATCTCCTGGGCTATTACACCTAGTACAGATTCTTCCTCTCATAAATGGGAGAGGTGAAAAATGAGAAAGAATCATCTTTTAAACAAATGGTGTGGAGACAACTTGAGACCACATGCAGAGGAATGAAATTGACCCCTTACCTCTTAGTGAGGAAGAACAGAAAACGTCTGGGCAGATATATATCTTTGGACACATACCTAATATTAGCTACACTGTGAATTATTGGTTTGGGGTGAGTTAGTGAGAAATGGGTTCATTTTATATGTTTAACCTAGGGGCAGGTGTCAAGAGGGGGCTTAAGTGAACACCCTACAATAAAGTTTACATTTTTCATCCATTGCAGCTAGGTATGATCATGGGACCTTGTTCTGATAGGACATGATAATAATTAATGTGTGAAACTTCTAGGAAAAGAAGTAAATCTTCCCTATATTCCTGTTCTTTCTCACTGCTACTTAGAATGGTAAT